TGGTTGTTTCTGGTGTCTTTTATAGAAGGTGACCATGCTTTAGGTTTGGCTACAGACGTCCTTGAGAGGTAATTAAAACAATTACTTTATCTTATTCTGTGCAGAGTATAATTAGAGCCAAATCTCACAGAACAAGGAGCAAGGAACATCTGTCCCTGAAATCCCATTACATTTTTTAATTTGGTTAACAGTAATTATTTGTTTCACACAGGGTATCATCCATAATTTTGAATGTACTGTACCACCCCTGAAATTTCACAAAATACCTTCTAGATCTTAAACAATATTGTGCAGCTTTTCCACACGTGACCTTCTTTTTTACTCCATTTTTCACATAGCCACACTATTTTGTTGTCACAAATTTGATTGGAGTTTGGAAGAGTTTAAAAATAGAGATAATGAGTGCTAGAGGAAAAGAATACAATTAAAATAATTGCTTTTTCTGTGTCGATGTACATGCCATGCGCTTGTATTAAGTGTTTTAGCTGAATATTATGTGTGAAGTGTACATAGATGTTTAGCAAACACCAAGGCCATTTTCCGACCCAGATTTCCACATCACTGAATTGATCTTTCTGACATTTCAGCAGGATTTCTTTTTTAATGAGTGTGTTTAGATGCCAAGGTAACTGTCACTCAAATAATGTAACTAGTCAATGACTGTCTGGCTTTGCTGTCAGACGAGATGTAAAACACATGGACATAATGTCTTTTCTTGTTATGGTTATGTAACTGCGCAAACAAAAAGGCACGTTAAAAAGTCTGCGTAATAGAACTGTTAACCATGAGAAGTAGATGAATTAAATGGAGAAGGTTATTACATTGTCATAGATCGTTCAGATTTTAATTATGGTGTGCTCATTCTGTTGATGATAAACTTTGTGGCTGAGGTTTTTCTGAGCCTTAGCTCCCAGAATGGTATTGTGCTTTATTTGATTTTTTACCCTACTTTGAGATACAGTAGTGAGAACATTTACTCTCTAACTTATGTACAGTATTTGTCAACATTATTTGAAATCTTTATCCCCTGCATTTGTGCCTACTTTGTGCAACTCCATGTTTTTTTTTCTCCAAACTGTGCGTCATATGGCAGACATCTCCTAGCAGGCAGTGTCTTTCAGACAGTCACATAAAATATTGAGTGTTTCTCAGATAGTTAGTTGCACACATCTAACTGCATGACAAAGTGCCACATGTCTGCGAAGTAAGTAGACAGCATGGGATTCACACCTGTGCTTCATTATTATGGCTTCAGATTAGGTTTCTCCACATCTCTAGTGTGGTTTATATGAATTTACTTAGCTGTGAATAATGGAAGGATGCTATTAATAAACACATAAGCCTTTTCAAAAAGGGTTATCTTCTAACTGTTGCAGTGTACAGTGCTAATAATATCAATTTAATTTTGTTAACGTTTTTGTTTTGGGAGTCATGCTTTTCAGTTTGGAAAGCCACCAGATCTCAGGCATTTTCAACAAGGAATGTTACTGTGTTTTCAATAAATGTCTGTAGCCCCATAAATACTCCGCAAAACTGCAGTGTTTACAACAGTTTGAGTAATCAACAGTTGTGTTTTATTGGGATTATGTATCCAACCAATTTAGGATCCCCAACTGTCTCTTTGCCTTTGTTTGCAGCAAAAGCCCCTGGCGCTGTCCCACAGGGCCAGAGTGAGTCAAGCTCCTCCAACTGCCCCTCTTATTGAGCTGGCACCGTGGAAGTGGCAGGGGGCACTGTTTCTCTGTGGGCCTGAGGGAGCCCTGGCCAAATAATGCTTTCTGTCCCTAACCCCAGCAGCAGTGAGCCAGATGAATGCTGCTTCTTGTGTAATCCCAGAATCCCAGTTGCTGTCAGCTAGTTACATGACGTAAGTTTGAACTTGAGTTGCCATAGAACCCAACCTGGGTTCAGAGTGAGCACCTTTACAGGTTGGGTCTCTTGGTAGCCCTGCATTGTAACTGCTTTCCAAATATTGGACTCGGGGAAAATCATCATCTTTAAGTCGGCCGATCTGAACTTTCTGAGGACTGTAGGAAAGTCTTAGTCATACTTTTGTGTCTATCAAGCATCTATTGCTGTTGTTTTTCAATACTGTTTCACACTTCTGTTGAAATCAATCTTTATCCATTTGCTTTACTTCATTCCATTCAAGATGATGGATGGACTTGTATTTCTGATGGGGCTTTTTTTTCAAACCAGTTGTTGCTTTGTAGATCTGTAATTATACTTTGAAAAGAGCTGGCTGCAATCTCATGTAAAGCTTGCTGCTGCCCTTTGAATTCTTAAAAAAATGTAAACCTTCCACATAAACCTTATAGGATGAATGCGGTTAATGAGTGTTTTGTGTCATGCTTCATAATGTGAAAAATATTTCACTTATAAAGAATTCAGAGAATGTAATCAGTGGCTTAATACAGACTGTTTCTGTTTTGTCTGTAAATGTGCATTTTCCTGAATAAAGACAAAGGACAAGGTCATTCAAGTTTCAGTCTTAAAAGCAAAAGCTGAAGAAAATTATCTTGGAATCCTACTGAGAAAAAAAAAGAGAAAGCAGAAGTGTTACATTTTTAATGTACCACTCCAAACAAGTTACAGGAAAGGCTACAGTTCCTCTACTGTGACCATTCAGAAGCTTAAACATTTGTTACAGTTTGTATAGTTACTACCACAGCCGTTCTAAAGCTGAGATATGATTATTTTGTTTCTGAACAAAATCTAGACACTCTTTAAAATCTATAGATGGAGAACTATTAATAGTTCTTCCCTTTCCCTTTCTCCTTGTTAAAAAGGTAACAGATTTTGAAAGCATGAATAATACATTAATATCTGAACTAGTGAGCCAGACTAGTTTTAACTTTGATTAAATAATTATTAGGGATTTCAAATTATTTATTGCTCATTGAGAACCACTTAGCGTATAAAAAAAGTCATCCTAGAATAAAGGGAGGAGTTGTACGTTATGTGAGCAATGCACCAGTGTGTTTAAAATGTGGTCTATAAAAAGAATTAAATTACATTGAACATGACACCTGTAACCATACAATGTAGCCATAATAGTTAATAAGGAGGTTAACTGGGATCTTTGAGTATACGATATTTATGATGCGTCTATAAAAAGGAGCATTGCTACCTTTGGCAGTCTATGGTAAAAAACAATAGAATTAAAGAGATTTGGCACCCTTTCTTATTTTTGGTAGTTTGATACTGTTATTGCTTACGATGTCTTTCTGTATAGATTCATAATGAACATTAGCTTGTCGAGAAGTGAGAGGAATCCATTCAGCCCATAAGCTCAATAGATCTATTTCTTTATAGCCTCAAAGCCAGTACTGAGAAATAACCCCCAAAGTAGAAAATCCACAGCAGATACCGGAAATAGACTGGAATTGAACCCAGGAACCCAGAGTTGTGAGATACTGGTGCTGCCCTCCATTCTAATATATTCCCCTTAAGTAGAGGTCTTGGTTAGCTCTGTTAGATTTTTTCTTTATGACAATCCTGACAGTGAGACAACAAGAGAGAATAAAACTAAGTTACAGGCATACAGTATACTGCATAAAGATAGAAAATATGCTTTATGTTGATAGAAATGATACTAATTTTGAAGATAAATATAAAGAAATCTTAAGATCTGTTTTGCAGCAGCAGGTTAAACTTATCAATTGATTATATATTTATGGTGACTGATGGGTAGGTTTAAAGAACACAGCAGCCGTAGTGAGGGAATAGTACAGTAGCCTGATATACACAAGGTCAGCAACAGTTGTTAATGATGTTAAAACTGTTTAAAACGATTTAAAGAAAGGTTATTCCGTATTGCTGCTACCACAGGTGTTTTTTTTTTCCGGATCGCCAGTGGAATCCTGCAATTTTACATTTGATTGATAACCAGCTCATAGCAGGGTGTCAGCCTTTGGAGACGAGTAATTTGGATTTCTATCTTTCTGCCTTCTTGTGCAAAATGTGCTATCAATCAACTGGGTCTTCGCTTTAACAAAGTGAAATTAAATCCTTATGAGGTAGGGCTCCCAATGTAGTAACTTCACAAAATATATTGATATTGTTTTTTTGAGAATTATGACTTCAAAATTATATACTGTCTGTATATTTTATACTTAACAAAATCCCTAAATAAAAAATCCCTAAAGCAAAGTTCCTTTGCTTGAAGCCACTTGGGTAAAGTTTTTTTTGTACAGAGAAAATGTAAGAGGATTCAATAAAAAATACAAATAAAAAACCCTTTATATTACTTTGATAATATCACCTGGTAGAAAATGTCCCCTTAATTACAGTGATGCAAATATTTTGGAAAGGATTTATCAACATTTAAGAGGGTTAAAGCCCTTGTCTAGTTTCAGTTCAGTGTGCACATAAAACAACAAAAACTGAAAATTGTAATGTGACAATTAAGCCACTTACTATAATTTAGGGGACATAATGATCCTATACGAGATAGAATAAAATGAGAAACATCTGTTCATTATTTTGGCTTCATGATGAAAAATACTAAGAGTTTCAAGTGCTATTCCCCCACCATAGCTGCTATGTTCTAAAAATAATGTGCCATACCCAGCCTGATGAAGATATAATTAATTGATGTGATTTAACTTACTGCTGCACACATTATCTAAACAGACCTTGTGATTTTTTGTTGTTGTTTTGTTGCGCTGTATTTCCTCATGCCACTCACAGGAACTTTTTTTTACTACCAAAAAAGCTTCTAACTTAGCAGCTATTAAGAAGACGGCAAAAGAGAAAATGAATTGCTAAATTGTTGTAATTGGTTTACAGAAAATCTTTGACCAAGTTCTCTGTTTTTGCATTTTGATACTCTAAATGCCTGTAACAGTTACAATATGGCATGTTACAAGAGATCCTTAATGTTCTGGTCTCATTTAAAGCTCCTTAGAGTTTTTGAATGATCTGAATTTCTGAAACCTCTGCTCATGCAGTGAACGAAGAGATGACTTACACTTATGTTCTGTATTGCTTTGTTTTAGTGGATGGCTGCATACACCGGGCTGCTGGTCCCTGCCTGTTTGATGAGTGCCAAACCCTGAATGGCTGTGATACTGGACAAGCCAAAATCACCAGTGGCTATGATCTGCCTGCAAAGTGTGAGTACAAAAGAACATTGGTTTTTGTCCTATAATTGAAGGATTTATTTTTGTTCAGCTGTCTTTTATTATTGAAGTTTGGCAGCAACCGACCCTGTTAACCACTACCGTCCCGTCTTCAGTTCTTGATGGCCCAGTACAAGGTAGGTCCTCTCCAGTCTCTGATGGCACTGGTCTTCTGGGAGCCTTACTGTGCAAAATGTTATCTGTAAGGATGGGATTTCTATGATTAATTATTGAATTCAGAATCGTGTTGATTTTGGTCAATTAAATTTCACTTGGGGGCTGCACTTTCCAGTCCCAAGTTTTGTCAATGTGTGACTAATCATGGACGATGTGTTTTTATAACCATAAGGGACGGCAGGCCTGTCATATTAAATGTCTTTGTTGTGAAGTACAAAGTCCTGACTTGCGTACTTATAAAATCATCCATATGATTCTAGTTAGCTGATTAAAATGAAAAGTAAATGAAGAATGTACTGAAGACGCACAATTTCCAGATAGCTTAGCGGCCAGTGACAATTAATCAACACTGTGGTAACATAAGAAATACAAATCCTGTTTCTTTTGACTGTAATAGAATTCAGTGTTAAAGCACAGTTGCAATTATTATGTTCCCTTTCATTTTACTGATGAAGGGGAGCAAAATCCTCAAAAGCCTATTATCACCTGATACACGTTCTGAATTTCTTTAGAAACACCTCAGTGTGTCCAATAAAAAAACATCAAAATAGGATAATCCAGTAGTAACAATGTCCTTGGTACAATTCGACTTATCAGTTTGTAGTGCGTATATTTGTGCGCATTTGCGGTGTGTGTTTGCCCCAGCAAGAATAAAGCTAATGATATATCTCGGTCTCTGTTTGCTAGCTGAGTGCTATTGGGTGTTCATCTACAGTCAGCCATGGCCTCTCTTGCAATTGCTCAAGAGTCATTACAAGTGATGGGACTGTGTATACAGGTGTTGGTCAGCAGGAGTGGAGTGGGGTAATTACCAGTAATGCACCTGTCACTTTGGAGTTCTGTTTGAAATGCCCTTCCAGGAAAAGCTGGAAAAACAGAATTATCAATGCCTTTTTTTCCATCCAGGTTTGGAATAGTGCTTGATACCCCTGTATATAAGTTTGTGTGCATACATCACATAAAGTAACAGGTGGCCACTCATAAATCTTCTCTAGCTTCATGGAGGAGAAATGTTCGTAGAGTTCTCTAAAACTAGATTCTTATTATAAATTACTAGATTCTTATAGAACTAGCAGTTACTATACGTGATTTACTTTGTTTTATGGCAAGCAATTTTGTGTTGTACATACTGTAGGTTTTACATTATTATGCATTGAAATTGTCAATCATCAAATAACGTACTTTGGGTGATAACGATAGGGAGGGTGGCTAAAATTATTTCCACATTAATTTTTTAACATGCGAAGATCAGATACATTTTCTTTTTTAATGTATATAATATTATTAGAATGTCACTAAGTGCTAAAGCTGTTGAATTATTGATCTTGGGCTTCTCAAAAGATGATGGTACTTAGGAGATTTTTCCAATCCTGTCTCTTCTTTATTCCCAAACATAGAAGTGGTATCTAAAATAGATTATACTGTTCATTGTGTTTGGTAGACTGCTTGATGCATGGTTAGATGTCTTATGCCTTACAGTAATGTGACAGTTTAATAGACCATAATGTCATCTGTTGATAGGGATGCAATTAAACTGAAACAGATGAGGTGCTGTTTTTTTTTGTTTTGCAAATATCAAATTCCCTAAGAGAGAATGTTTCAAAGCAGTGAGGTATGTTGATTGGAAAGTCGGTTTCATGTTTTGATTTTGATGTCTTGCAACTAGGGGGAAAAAAAGTGTATCTTTGAATTATTACACATAGATTTGCACAAAAAGCCTTTGACACAAAGCTTTGCCTGTCAGTGCTGTCGGTGATCTTGTTGTTGTTGATGCTATTGCTATTAAACATTAACAACTCTGCTGCTTTCTTGAAAAAGTGTGGGTTGAGCCAAAAATAATTTAAAAATTGTCTGAATTCTGAATAACTGTTTCATGTCTTGCATTATCTTTCTTTCGTGAATGTTGCCTGTGTTTTAACTTGGAAAGTGAATTCCTTTTTCCTTCTCACAGTTGGATGGTAGTCTTTGACTGCTTACACTTTGCACCCATTGTAATCAATCCAATTTTAAGAAACTGTATAAACAACACCCTTCATTAAAAAAATAAAACATTTCATGCTCATGTTCCATATACGCTTATCTACCAAATGTATCTTCTAGTTCTTATGTATAGTCATCTGTACAGGAGTAAACAGAGATGGTATATTTTTTGGTTAAAAATATCCTGTTTTAATTTGATCATGTAGACCACTGCTTAACCAGAATCCTCCTTTTAATTGTAAAATGTACTTACACTGCACAATAGGATCTTTATCAGTGTCTGGAAAAAAATGCTTTTTAAAAGTAATCTATTACAATTACAAGTGCATTTTTCAATGAAAAAAATGGTGGGGAAAATTGCTTTTAAGAAGTAACATACGAAATTAAGGTGCTCTCGTCCTTTAAGTCTCATTATCTATTGTATGTCAAAAGGGAAGAGTTTACTTTTCTAAGATTGGGAATGAGATTTTTTTTCTCTCAGTGATAATGGGTACAAATGCATCTTGCCAAGAGGCAGTCTAATATGGAATTATGAAACACACATCCTTCATTTTGTTAATCCATCATTTTATGAAGAAGCCAGTGATATAAATTTCTGTTTCTTTTTGGCTGTCAGATGAAAGTCATTTTAGAATTATTGAAGTAGCTTTTGTTTATTATTTTTTTGTCTCTGCTATTCCTTTTTACTTTTTGAACAAAGAGGTCCATTCTCAGATTTCTGGAGGTATTACATACAAAACCTGTATGATGGTATTCATAATTTTTTTTTCATCTTTAGGTTTCAGCATTGTTAAGATACAGTCTCAGATATATTCCTTAAGCATGTCTGTCAATATGTTCTGGTAATCTGCTTTTCAAATAGCCTTTAAAATTTGTACTATATCTGTTTTACCATGTTTTTTTCTGTCAATGTCAGTGTGTGTGAAGCAAAATCAGTTTTAACAGACTACAGTCTGTCTGTGCTGTCATTTTTCGTCTTTCTTTTCCAATTCCATTAGAGATTATGGAATTCCCAGCAGCAGATTTTTGGTAAACCTTATACAGTTACTTAATAGATGATAGGGATAGGGATGTTTAAGGGCCTTCTGTAGATATGTTCTTTACTAGTATGTAGTCAGTTGCCTTTCAGGGAATGTGTATGCCGGCAACAAAGGTTATCCCCCTTTACTGTAAATGTTGAAGTAATGCAGATGGTGGGGAAAAAAATAGTATTAAAGAATGGTGGTATGATACAGTACATCTTCATTTGTCTCATTTCATTGCTATTAATTTAAGGAAAAACATTGTCTATTGCAGAAATATGAATTTCCATGTCAGTATCTTTAAACTAGAAACTGAAATGCGTCTTAACTGTGTTGCATTAGCAGAACACATCTGTGTTGTATTGCCAGTTAACTTCAGCATCTCTTGTACAATATCTGTTTATTGTCCTAGTCATGTATTATTTTGTGGGATTTACCATCTGTTTTTTTTTTTTTCCATTCATTAAGAAATCCTGCTGAATCAACACAAGCAGTAATTAGTACGTGTTTAAATGTGCAATGCACAATTCTGTGTTCTTTTATATGCCTAAAACACCCAGGACCCTCATGGAGTGCTAAAGTATATAGATAAAATCCCTATTCGTATTGGTATTTTTCTTCCAAACAGTCTTTTGTTCTTTTAATCTGGTTCATCAACACTGTGTGAGAAGATTAACTAGCCAAAATATGCTTTTATAGTTCACAGTTGCTTAAAAAGATTTAAAATAAACAGTAACTTATCTATACACTATCCATTTCCCCATTTACTCACTTTTTGAAACAACGTTTGAACAGCTCATCAGTGTTACTTAAAAGATAATACTACAACACCAAGTTAAAAACATGGAAAAGACAAACCAGACAGATCAGTGAAGGGGAGAGGAGACATTTTTCCAAATATTTGCCGTCTACAAAATTAACTTCAGCTGTTTCTACAGAGCTCGGTGGCTATTTTTTTGTGCTCCTGATCTACTCTCTCTCTCTGAAGCTCAAGCCATTCTTCCATTCACCTTAGCCAGATGTGCTAACATCCAAGATGGTGAGAAAGGGATCTTAAAACTCTCCTCATCCTATAATCCTAAAATTGCTGTCAGTTACCCAAATATCATTGCTCTGCCCAGGAGCAGGAAAGAGAGAGCCCCAGTTAAAGAGCACAATGGGTATATAAGTTGAGAACAACAAATGGATAAACTTATAAAAGTAAATATTGGTCTAAGGAATGCTACAGAAATTGTATAACATGGGCATTTTCACAGTTCATTTACATTTTGCTTCGCTGGTCTCCCAAACTTTGCCAACATACTGTACTATAAAACATCACAGAATCTTTATTCTGGCATTGTAGATGTCACATTCACAAAGACCTTTCTTTTCACGTCCTTGTATTTTTGGCAATACAAGGGATCATAAAACTTCAGGCACTGCTCTGTGTTCTTCACAACACAGCCATGTTGCTTTATGTTTGAGACTACAAGAGACAAATCAGCATACAGACGTATTTCTAGTGTTGCCTGAATGGATGACAGCATGTCACCTTTCATGGGATGGGATCAAGTTCTGCTACCTAGGAAGAGAGAGCAGTAAACACAAATCTTGCATCCTATATATTCTAGTGGTAAAATGGGTAGGGTGTTGCAGCTATGGTATATTTTAAAGTACATGCATAAACACGTGTTCCTAATGTTTAATAGGTTGCAGTATATGCAAGAAATTGTGTTATTTCCTTTTCCTGAAAGAGGTAGTTTGGTGAAGGTGTACAGATGGTTGAAAAGGAAAATGTGAGGCCTCAAGCGCCTAAACAATCTTGACTGTTTC